TAACATAGTTATTTTCGTTTCGATATATCTGGTTATAGGTGGCTTGGTTACCCCGAACATTTTGACTTTGATAATGCTGATAAAAAGGAGCCTCCTGATAACTATTCCCATTTAGACTCATATTTTGTTGATTCCTATTATCCATTACGTAATAGGACCTTACATTTTGCTTAATTATATTTCCTTCGTTTACATTGTCTTGTTGTTGCTTATAATCATTCATAAGTATCAATTGAGTGGTCTGTGGGTAATAATTACTATTAGATTTCTTCATTTTTATTCGCGTGTACTACTTGTATAAATACAACGAACACACGTGGTGTGAATGTGTAAGATTTACACATACACACCAAAAGGACGAAAAAAGAAAGGAGATAACTTTAGACACGCGTCTTAACTGAATATGAAAAGAATTGAAAGTGAACTAATAGACTGCACAATCGATGTAATTGGTAAAAACATCAAAAGAGAAGTTTGAACTGTGACAAGCATATCAAAATTTGATGATTTTTTTCTATAGAAGCGGTATTTGAGATTTTTACATATTTGGAATCAGCGTGATGAGTTACGTTGTACGGCGCAAAGATCTCGTCGGGGTACACACAAAAATGGGGTCTTAGGAGTCCCACTTAGAATACCACTGTATTCAACGGTATAGTTCAGCGTTCCGCATTTTATTCTTGCATGCCGCATTTTATTCTTTCTGCTGATAGTGTAATTTTTCTTTCTATTTGATTGTTTTTCTTTTCTACGCATATGGAGAGATATAGAAAGGAAGAAAGTGAAAAGGAAAAAAGTTCTTCTCATCGAAATGTACACTGCAATCACTATGAAATTACTCTATATTCTATCAACTTGACAGATTAAAAAGTTAACAAATTTGGAAGCATCCCCTCCAGTTTTTAAGATAATTTGAAGTACACAAGTTGTACTGTATGCCAAGCTGTTTTTTAGAAAAGGGTACAGTCTACTTTTTGAGATACAGAGCTGTCAATATCGCTGTCATTGCACCTTGTGCGTGCATAGATATAAAGCAAGAAACGAAGAACAGAACAAATGTTATCTCTTTATCCAAAAGGAAAATCGCACTCGTTATAAAGTGAGTGTATATTCTGGCAACTTCCCAGATTAAAAAGTAAGCAAATTTGGAACTACCCCTCTCCAGTTTTTAAGATAATTTGAAGTACACAAGTTGTACTGTACGCCAAGTGGTTTTTTAGAAAAGGGTACAGTCTACTTTTCTTGAAACGTACGTTTCTTGAAAGGAATTCTTGACTAGCATGACTTTCCAGCTTTCTCTTCGGGCCATGATAGTCGTATAAGACGCTCGCGAATGTATCTTCAACTTTTTTTATTTAACTGTCCAGAGCAGTAACTAGTGTATATCAAATACATTTAATGAAGAAATCATATAATTAATTACATGCTACATTTATACAAAGAGAGACGCACTTTTTCTTTTATATTCTTTGATCATACTATTCTTAGTTCTGGTTATTTTTCGTTATATGAAGCCAGAACATCCATAGAGAACAATTTTTCTGTTTATCGAACAAATTAAGAAAAATATAAAATTATCGAATGTGCAGTAGTTGTAAGTTATTCTGTATTCTGTCAAGTTCATTAATTAAAATCAGAATAATTACAGAGGATCCTTTTACACTTGATCGCACTAATCTGGAGTACACAGGTTATACTATATATTAACCTGTTTTTTTAGAAAAAGATCCCTTGTAGTTTTCAAGATACAGAGCTGTCAGTATCACAGAATAAACATAGTAAAACGTATGGGTTTCATTTACTACTCATATGTATTGATTATTAATAGCTGTTTCAAAAATTCTTTTACGTTACAAAACATTTATGTATTAATCGTTTTATGAGATTATGCTTCAGTAATCTCTTTGATAAGGACGATGTAAAACAAAGATTAGTCTTTTGAAAAAGTACCTCTTAACTTTATTATGTTTTTTCGCCATTTCTACACATATTGTCTCCGTTTAATTATCATGACTCGGCGAGAAAGCCGAAAAGTCATGATAATCAAAAAGAGCAGTTTATCTAGTTGCTAAAGATAAAAGAAGAAAATATGATTTATTAAACGGTAATCACCAATATTGAGAGCCATATCTCAAACACTAAAAGAAGTCTGTTTTTTAGAAAATACATCAGTATATAGCGGCACTTGTGTGCTTCAAACTCGTATAAGAACTGGAAAATGATCTTCTATAGTTAATTTAATTTTAATTCACGAAGTTGGTAGAATAGCGGATGAGCATTGCTTCTTTTGGACATAGAATAAATGAATATCTAGATTAAAACAGAAAATTTGTTCTTTTCAATAAGGCGAAATAAAGCTCTATATAATACATCTACTTTCATTGAATGTAGATGTATTATATGTACAAAAACGAGACTACTCAATGTGCATGTATTCCGTATTCAAGAAACACGAATCATCAGAAAATTTATTTTATGTGGAAAGTAAGAAATTACCGCTTAGCATTCCACGGGCTCGACTAAATTGTACACGGTACGAATATTATTGTTAGAAATTTGTATGATCTTTTCAGTACGTTTTGAACGAAAGATGTTCTCCAAATATTTTGCTGTACAAACAACACATATCGTACAATCATTTTTAAATTTGAGTATTCGTCTAAATTTGCTTATTCAACAATACATAACCAGAATACATCTTCCTCCTGGTGATGTTGATAGACGATTTGTTCTTCAGTCATCTGTGCAAACAATAAAATTAGACGATAATGAATTAGAACATCTGTTTTCGTACTCTGCTTTGAATGGCATACGTCTTGTCTATCCTTGTCTCAAATCAATAATTTTAACAAATATACCGCCCCGTGATGCAAAATATATCGAATATTTCAGTTGGTTTCGACCATTTTTATTATTGTTAAAAATGAATTTTTTGATAACGGGCGGAAATGCTTTTAATCATCATCTGTTAAATAGAATCTTTGAAAACAATGATGATTGTAAAATTGAAACAGTTTCAGTTAAATATTCAATATTATCCATACAAGAATTAGAACATGAACATCCATGTTCGTCAATAAAAAGTTCAACATTGAATGTGAAATCTTATTACCATTTATTATCATTATTTGAATATTTACCTGCTCTTGAACTTTGTGATGTTCGAATATCTAACGATGTAGACGATAGCAAAGGAAGAAGCACTATCACTGAAGTGCGATTGAAACAATTTTTCTGTACTATTTTAAGTTGTTTTCATAATTATGACCATTTAGAAGAACTGATTGTTAGAAATTTTTCATCTTCTCTTGAACATTTACCAATTTATTTAAAAACAAGTTATATAATCAATGGAGAGATTTTAGAATCAAAACTGATCAGAAATTTATTAAATTTACAGCAATTTCAATTTTATATCACGTGTTTAACGAATGAAAATGATATTGATATGTTAATTAGAACACATCAAAGTGATTATTGGCTTCAAAATTATCCAGACGGTATCATGTTTTATTATCTATTAGATACAAATTATTGTGCATCATTTTCATTACCATATGCATTTGATCATTTTGAATATATATCGAATAATATTTGTAATTATAGATTAACCCGTTGAGCACGATGTCGCCCACCGGTGGGCGACGCTATAGTTTAACGAGAAACTGTACAGAGAAGCACTTTTTTTTTGCTTTTTTCTTAAGCAGGAGGTTAGACGTAAGAGGTCGTATCTTCTGCCTTCAGCACTTTATTTGAATCCTTTATTCCATAGCACAATGCTTATCATTAAAACACTTAAGACAAAATAATTTATCACAGTCAGAACAGAAAGTTTTTACTTTCTTTGCTGCTGCATTGCTCGCTTCCCTTGACTGTTGTGCCCTTCCCTTCTCATAGCAGCCAGCACACCATCTGCCAACATTGCGCGTAGATCCTTCCTTTTCTTCGAGCTTGTGATTAGCGAGTTTGCGCTTGGAATGACTTGCTGATTGTTGTCTCGGACCAGGTTTCAGCTTCTCGACTGGCATACCAAGGAGTAAAGATCGTACAACACTTTCTCGAAACTGTAAAATCTGTATGTTGCTTGTGGCATAATTTTCCTTGTAAATCAGATAACTATTAACTACTGCAGTTCCAAATATCAATTCAAATGCCACCATTTGAACCATTTTATTGACCGTCTGAGGCATGTATGGTATGTTGATAGTTGATCTGATAAATCGGTACCTTGTCTCCTTTCGTTGTAATCGAGAACAACTTGTGGCTTCATGATACGTTCATTTAGTTTATTGGTTTTTCCGGTGTTCACCACAGTTGCTGAATGAGATGGCTTTGTAGATATCATCAGAACGTCCCTTTTATCTTTCCACCTGATCAACTTTATACCGACTTTGTTCTGGAGCCCATAAGCTTCACCAGGCTTGAGCTTTTTCTGAACAATTTTATGTCCTGATCCAGCACGATTACTTCTCAATGTTCCAACAAGATATGTATCCTGTTCTAACAAACGTTTCGCTAGAGAATTACTAGTAAAGAAGTTGTCAGCCACCACGGTTCGATAACATCCCGAAAGACCATCCAATAAATTCATTACCACTGCTTCAGCATGTCCGAGACCTGCCATAGGATCGTGCTGACCAGTATAGATCACATAATTCCAGGTGTATCCATTGGCAGCCGCTAACTTGTATATCTCTACGCCGTACTTGTGTGCTTTTCCAGGGATATATTGTTTGAACAAAAGTCTGCCTCGCATAGTATCATAGTTTCGTCGATAGTAATGACCGAGTCAGGCATATATACTGACGAAAATCTCGCTTTCAGTAAATCCAACAATGGTCTCAATTTGGACAATCTGTCTAGGTCCGAATTCTTGTTATTTGAAAAATGCCAAAATTTGAGGAGTAATTCAAACCTCTTTCTCGATATGACATTTCGAATGATCTCCTGTTATGACCGTCTCGAGGTCATATTCTTCTTTTCTATCGATATGCCTATGCTTAGAATATTCTTTTCTGACTTATATGTATTCTTCTTTTTTGTTTGGTCATTGACTATTCTTTTTATTTATTTCTTTTACCTATATATAGTTAAGTTAGATAAGTTAGATCGTCGTTCCTTTCATTTTTCTCCCTTGTTCTACAGTAGTATGCATATGCATGCAGTTTCGTTGTTAAAGTCAGTTTTTTAGTCGTTACAGTGTGTGTCGAGCGCGTGTTTTCATATACTCGTTTTTTTTTCATATTAGTTTTAATAAACATATCCATTGAAATAGTTTGTCACAGCCGTGCAGATCACACGGAAGATAAATAGGAGACCCCCTCGTTTTAGGGAGAGTTTCTGGTACCGGATCAAGCGGTTCATGACATCTCCGATCCGTACAATTGACTACTGCTCCAGCAGTATTTCAGTTTCGGCATTTGTACCAATCCCATCTCGATAGTTCCAGAATAACAGACATTTCCTCAAGAGAAATGGTAACGAATTACGGGTGACTCCAGAAAATGCCTGCTAATCGCGAACCTTAATAGATACAGAGGTTGGCCTTGCGCAGAATAGTAGAAAACACTTTGGGCTATCTAGTCACCGTGTTATAATTAAAAATCCATCTCAGGTTCAGAATCTGGCAACCTCATTGCTTTTCATCCGTCGGGTACCTGAAAAACCAAGATTTTTAGCACCAAATATATGTGAAGATAGAATAAAGCCTTCTCTACAGAATGCTGAAAATCGAACTCTCAATCTCTTTTCGTTCTCGAGTTATTTAAAAAACATCCATGAC